TGGGCCCCGCTGTGTGCCACAGGGCGAGCTGTGAGAAGACATCGGTGGCCCCTGACCACGGCCGGGCCGCACCCCGATGGCCCTGGCGGAGCGGGGACGGGAAGGGCTCGCAGCCTGTGGGGGGGGACACATCGCTTCTGGGGGGGGTCCTGCGGTATGGCCCCCCTGCAGCCCATGGGGGTGAAGAGTGCTCAAAGGGTCCCTGTCCTCATTGGAGGCAGCCCAAGGAGCCGAAAATCTGCTGAGATGATGCGGCCGTGGTGCTTTCCCTCCCCGTCATCACACATGTTCCCGCCCGAAGGCGCCGCTCCCCTGGCCCGTGTTTATTCACCACATCGACAGGGTGGAAGGAATTGAGCGGGCAGATGGGAACCGCTGAGGGGAACCATTCGGGCCCCTCGCACGGGGTCACTGTGCTCCCCCACAACAGGACACCCTTACAGCTGCAAAAGCACAGCGAGCTTTGTCACTGGGGGGTTATAAGCAACCTGCCGTGGGTTCCGTTTGGGTTTTGCCCTCAACTACGCTAAAAGGCAAAATGCTTTTTGACATCATTTGGTGGCAGCTTTCATGTCCACTGTGCCCAGCAATTTCCCCAGCTGAAGGGCAGCATGACACTGTTAGCACAGCGCTCAGAAAGTCAGAAAGAGTTACTGTTCTATTAATACTTTTTTTTTAACAAAATGTCTATGTTAAGCTCTCAGCTACAGTTCTGATGATTCCTCAGTTCCCCAATTTAAGTGGCTGAAGACCTATGCTTATCTAAAAATAAGTGGAGAAGGATTTTCTGCTCTGTAAATGCAGGGATTGTGATGCTTCACAGTCCGGTCATCTGACAAAACAGAACTGACAGTCTTTCAAAACTCAGAGCCTAGGGCAGGGTGACAAACACCGCTGACAACAATTCTCTCTCTTGGGACTGGCAGTATCTCCTTGTCCCAAAGAGCACAGCGAGATCAGAAAACACACAGCAGGAGACCTCCCCAGGTAATCTCACGCTTCTGACAGACCACACGTTGTGATCTGCCCAGACTCATTCTGCAACTGAACCACCCCAGAGGAGCACTCTGCACCTTTTGCTTTCTTCTGCAGATGCAATTTTCTCTGTAAAATTAGTTCTGCACTGCTAATGACAGCACCGGTTAGGAGAAATACTGTCAGATGGGTGTCATCAGGACAAAACCAGAACAGTGCCTATCAGTCTCCTCTCAACACCGCCCTGAGAATGACCCTTGGAGGCACAAGAAAGGACTGAAAACCAATTCTTTAATTGCTCTACACTTGGTTTCTTGACAATTCTTTATTTGCTATAAAATTTACCTCAATAACCCCCAGGTAGAAGGGGACAAATCTCCATGCAATTTAGGAAGTCATTCCTAGCTGTAATTTTTGGGATTCAATGATTTTTCTTGTCCTTCCTTGACCTGCACCATCCCTGAATCTCAGGTAGTCTCCTGGCAGCAGAGATGATGCAGGACTGGACTAAGAAGCAAACGCTGTTACCTACTTACCATTCGGACTATCTGTCTGTATTGGATAGAGGATCTCTGTCCAAGCCCAGAGCCATGAAACCGTGTGGGCTGGATGTAAGCACACAGGAATTGTGCTAATAAAGAACAACACTATTGTCTTAGGCCAGCTCAGTACCAGATTACTAGCTTGACACACTCCGTCAATACAGCATAATATCCTGTCCACTAGGTTTTTAAGGTTCTTTCTTCTTCAGTAGTCCTTTCTCCACTCATCTGAGTCTAGTGGTGAAAGTGCCTAAACTGAAGTTTCTTTCACACAAGAGGGGAGTTCCAGAAGCAAACATCTTTGAAGGCTTCAGCTTTATTCAATGAACAGCACATTACTGAATGCAAATCAACAGCACATTAATTGTGAATGCAAACCAAAACAAAAGCAACGCACAAGATGTTCAGAGTAACCCAGCAGAGCATCAAGCAGCAGCATTCCAATTGTTTATGCCACACAAGACTATCTTAGATGCGCTGCAGTGAACTGAAAGCAATAGAAACAGAATCAAAACCTTCTGTTAAAATAAAGGAAATGCATTCTGCATTCCACTGCAAATCCAGCACACAAAGAGACAACTGAAAACTTCATCTACCATGGGCTGTGACTCTCCTTTATGCCAGCACCAGTGCAGACAGCTATTCTTTTATGCTGCCTGATTTAATGGGTGCCTGCACCCTTATGCCAGCACCCAGGACATTCCCCTGTGACCTGGATGACATTGCAAAACAAGAGATTACATTTCTTCCCATTCCAGATACAATAATGCAAAGCCATGCTCATGAGGCCAACCTTTTATTAATTGCCCCTTATCCATACAGGTAAGGCTGAAACTGCAAAATGCCCATTTTATTAACAGTAAAAACAAGGTGTTGCACAACTAACTGATTTGCTCCTCCCCAACAAATACAAGACAGATTGAAGCAACACAACCATGGATCAACTGACATAGTTTTGATCTTCGGCTGCTGCGCTGTGATTCACATGGTAAATTCTGGTTTCTTTTGGGATCTAATATTTCGACGTTATAAACAGATTCCCCCAACCTGGCATACAGACTCTCCTACAGGTAATCAATCATGTTTGGATTTCATAGTAATTACATGACATGTGAAACCCAGCTACTGGAGTGAAAAAGAACAGCCAAAGCCTTACACTGGAAACACTAGAAAAACAATAAACCAAGGCTACATTCTGGGTGGGTGTTGAGCTCACAGCTGCAGAGAGTGTTCTAGTAGCCTGAAAACAGCCCAGAACTGCCTCCCCCGTGCTGCACCAGGATCTGCTTTGAAGACGCACAGCCACACTGGTGTGCACTGGTCACCCACAGCCTTGCAGAGGGACTGTACTCACCGCTCCCCTCGTCACTCTCAGGACCCTCCTCATCACTGTCCTCTACTTCCAACATGCTGCTTTCTGATGGCCTGAGACCGTCCCCATTGTCCACCCTGCTGCTTGCGTCCCGCTCCTTGTCTTCCTCAAGGAGACTTTCCAGTGACTCAGCCTGTTAGAGCTCATCAGGACTCTGACACCCTATTGCTGTTACGTCTTCATGAAGACTTCCAGTGTCTGCCCTCACTATTAGATCTTCCGGGTTTGCCTTTCCTTCTTCATCTGCTTCAGCCTGAGAAAGGCTCGCTGCAATTTTTTGTAATATTTTAAATTATCCTACTCATCTGCAGTGCACTACAACAACTTTGCAGGACTGCCTTTAAACAAACCTCAAACGTGGAAGCTAAAAATTCCCTAAAATATGTCAACAACTCCCCTTAATTTTAAAACAAGAACAAAGAAACTGTGTTTGAACAGGAACTGCCATTCTGAATCAGTGGACTGCCATGTATAGGGCCAGACCAGCAATCCAAGAGAACTCCTCAATTTGCCTTAGAATTAGCAAAGGGGGAGGCGTGGAGCCCCGGCCCCGCGCCAGCTCACTGCAGCGGTGCTGTGAGGAGGCTGCCTCACCCTGGGAAGCCGCATAGGTGCACGCGCATTCCACAGCCACGGGCAGCAGAGCAGCGCGCGGTGCCACGGGTGGTGGAGGTTCAGCCTCCAGCATCTGCTCCCACGGACCTCAGGCACAAACGACCTCCAGCCTGCCCCGGACTCGCGCCTCTGTTCTGACAGGGGGTATGTTTAGAGTCCTGGAAAACACCATCGCTCCCAGACACAGACAGGAGTGCAAATGGCTCAGAGACAGAGCCACTGCAACGTGCGGATTACACACTGCACCAGGGGAGCTGTCAGTGATTCTCCCCAATTCATTCACAGGCTTATGGTCCGCAGGGATTTGAATGCCAAGGTCCCTCTTACACGCTCTTTATTTATATCCGGTTCATAATATTGGATGCAAAAGTCACATCTGTGACACCTCAGTTATCTGGATTTTATTCTGAACTCTGTATGCTGGCTGAACTGACCCAAGGGGCCCACAGGCTTCAGACACTCTTGAATGAGTGTCGTGATATGCTAAGAGGAGACAAAATCTGGCCTCAACACGTACTCATAAAAATACAGATACCATTACTATTAGCGTGTTATTTCTGCCAAAGCAGCACTCAGAGCTTACAAGTGGATTAGTGTACTGATTGCTGAAACACAGAAACATAGCATGCATGCCCAAAAGCTTGCTATCCAAAATCCTGGTCTACCAACACTAACACACATGCTTAAGTTGAAGCAAGTTCTTCTTTGAAAAAATTACAGGTCCAAGGCTCGGCAGATGATCTCAAAGCACAATAAATGTACACAGCATGTGGAATTTCATCACACAAGTAGATGAAAGGTGAAGCTAGTAACAATTTAATGGGGTCATGTTGTCTTGGAGAATTTATAAATATAAAGAATGGAAAAGACCTGCTTGAGCATGTGCAAAAAGGCATAACTAGAACCAATGGTGTTAAATTACAGAAAAACTTTTTTAACAATGAATATCCAGAAACATCTTCCACTGTGGAGACCTATTAGGCACTTTAACATTGATCTCCTAAAAAAATTGAACTAGTAATTGCTACTGAAGTTGCTTGTAATATTTCCACATATACTATTTTCAGAGTCCTTCATTCAAACAGAAAGATGTTCTTGCCCTCAAAATTACCAATTAATTCTTATTTTTCATGAATTTATTATTACATCTCAGTTAGGAGAAACCCACATCTTTTTCATCCCTTCCCTCCACCTCTTCTGTTCAGTGGTGGGGAAGAAAAAAGTAGAAAGATTTCATTACGAAGGGGAAAATATTGAAAATCAACAAATAGGAAAGAGGAATGAAGGATCATCACACACTGCTAGAGCTTGAGAGGCAGCTGATTAAAGTCACAGAAAAGTTCATAATGCCATACACTAACAAGCGGAAAAGAATGCTTAATTGTACTGATTATTCATGAATCACAAGCTATGTCTGATTATCAGGAGAGAACAAACATTAAGATTCTTTTTGATCACTGCAATGATTTTATAAGCAAGGATGTTTCAAACCTAATTGGAACTTCTGGTGGACTTTGTACTTTCTATAAAAAGACTGGATCTTTCTTGCAGCTGCAACCTTTTTACAAAGAGCTGTACTACTATTGCTTACTTCACCTAGAATTACAAATGTGAGAGTAATGCTTCCATTTAACTTGAGAAACGGTTTGCACATTAGGACTGTCAAATGTAAGGAGTATAAAGTAATTGATTTTGAAAGAGCAGGAAATGGAGAAATTCTGGTACATTCTAACAAGCAAGAGGCACATAAAGTCAGCTCAGAATCTAACAAAGCCATAGAGGAGAAACGTTAAGGTAGAACTAAAACACTGCCACAAGGAAGAGGCAGTTCAGTCCCGACTTATTCACCACGTGGTGAATGGAACGCTGCTGTTCACCTAAGAAATGAGAAAACACCTGCGAGTTTTCCATGGGATTATTGATGAAGATAATCCCACACAGGCAGCAGGGAGAGCCAAATTGACGACATCTCCTCCCTCAGCCAGCACGGGCCAGTGGTGCGCCAGAGGACGCCGCCGAGGTTCTGGCTGCTCTGGGCCATTAAAGACAGCACTGCTAAAATACCAGGAGGCACATCGGGTGTGCTGGGGGCTTCTCAGGTAAAAGAGCCTATCCTCAGAAGGTGTGAGTGGCCTCAAACGTCGGTGACTGCTGACATAAAGTGCTGACCTGCCCAAGTATTTAGAGCTAATTTGCCGACTGGCTCCATCTCCATTTCTGCACATAAACAGTTCAGCAAAGTCTGTTGTGAGCTGGCACACCCTTATACTGCCTGTGGGTTTTGCCATATTTCAGTGACGGACAGTCAAATTAATAACAGATAAAATAGCTATCTTTTTCCAATTCAGTAGGACTTGCATGGTTTTTCCTGTGTTTTCCCCTTAACATATGTACCAGACACACACAAAATGTAAAACATGCATCAGGTCAACTTCTCTAAGCCTCACTAAGAAAAAAACTAACCTTGTTCATTGTCCTGGAAGTCACTGTCAGAGTGTCTCTCAGCTTCATCCTTCTCACTGTCAGAGACTTCCAATGCCTTCTCTGATGAGGTTTCACTCTCCTTTTCAATGTCTAAATCAGTTTTTTTATCACCTGAGGGGGACTGATGTCCCATTCATTTGCTGTCAATCTGCCTCTCTTCTGCTTCAGTATCTTCATCATACTCTAAAGTACAAGAATCATACCGTGAGACGAAATTCACAGCTAATGAAGTTCTTTTTAAGCAGGCAGAGGTTATCTTTGTTCATCTCCTTTTGCCTTTGCATTTGCTCAGTCTTTTTAATGCCATGAGAGAATCTAGGACAGGAAACATAAGAGAACATTATCATAAAAAAGCATCGTATTCTTCATAAATAGCATAGTAAAAATGCAGTAAAACTACTGAATTATGCATCAAGTAGGATCAATACATTAAAAACAACAACAAAAAAACCCAACCATAAGCCACTGAAAGGACTAGAAAAACTGAGAACTGGGCAAACCCAGATATAAGATGCAGGACAATCTCTTATTACAGGAGAAAAACCTGTTACAACAACAAAAAAAATGCAAGTAATAGAGAAAGCTGGAGAAAGTTAATCTACTGCAGCACAGAGTAAGATAAATGTGGATTGACATAGCTAATCAGCAAAGAAGTGGTTTACAAACTAGATGAACTAAATCAATCCAGCCCAAGGCTGCTGCAGAGGAACATTCTGTCATATGGCACTGCTCTGGTACCTCCTTCAGCTCCCAGGTGAAATCCTCATACAAATGAAGATTACAACAGAATTGCCATTTTCACCCCAACACAGTCTGGATTCCATCCCAGGCCACGAGCCTGACAAGCTGAAGTAGCTGACAGACAGCTCTGCTCACATCTGTAGTAAAGACTGGCCCCACATGTACGCATTAAAGCATCCTCCCCTGCCCAGCGGTTGGAACCCCAGGCACCAGCGTGCAGCGGTGTCAGCGATTTCCCTGGGAAATTCAGTAATTCCACTGCTAACACCAGCTCACGGCGCGTGCAGCAGAGAGGCAACAAACCCAAACTGTGCCAGAGAGCTGCCACTGCTGACACACCAGCTGTCCCTCGTGGCCATCACTTCTCACCTTTCAGATTTTATTGCCCACCTCTTTTTCCTTCGATCGGTGCTTTAAAAATACTGAAGTGACCGGTGCCAGGGACAGAAAGGAAGAGTATCTGATGCAGAACCAATTAGGCAGGTAAATGGTTACCCAGACAATGAGAATTAAGGGAATAAGGAGATTATTTTTCTGTGTTAAAGATCACTTGAGATTTCAAGTGCATTGCTGGGAGTGAGGCGACCTGAGGTAACTGTCAGAAAGGTGCCCCCCTCCTGAAGGAAAAAGGCTTCATTAATCACAAACACAGATCCACGGGGACATGGAGGTTGGAGCACGTGTCCCCTGAGCAGTGCCTGGGGCACTGTGGTGGAGAAGGACTGGAAAGAGCCTCGGGGAACACAACACTGCACGCCCCCTGGCAGCAGAGCAGAACACTTCAGCTATCACTGCATCTTGCTGACATTTTGCTGCTACATGCTCTTCCCACCTTCCCTCCCCTCCTGTGCCCAGCTCTGAGCCTCTACCCTCCCCAGTCCGTCCCCCTGCACCCATCTCGAAGCAGGCAGCAGCAGCTCCCCCACGGCCTGCCCCTGCAGCCGCCACCCTCTCCACTCCCCTGCGCTGAGGCCCTGCCTCCCTCAGAAGCTCCCGTCATTACTTTTTTACATTACTTCTACATTACTTTTTTAATCCACTGCTTGCATTCGCTTTTGAAACCACCACATTACATCAGTTGTGCTAAGAATTGACGTGTTATCACCTGGCAGCTGCATACGGTGGCAGAGGAGAAAGTCAATCCAATTGCTTTTCATTGACTTCCTTCCATCTAGTATTTCATGGACCATATAACCA